TGTGGGTGTGTGTGCCCAACTTTAAAATATAAGCCTCTGTAAAGACCTTAGCATTTCATTCAAAGAGATGCCAAAACCATGACCTTATGCCCTTCACCTTAACCTCAGTCATGGGGCTGAAATTCTGCATGGTGGTTCCAATAGATAAATACCTTTGGGAGGCAGCATTTAATCCACACAAACCAGACCCAGATTTCATACAGAGATCTTTGTCGCCTTGATCCTGTAATATTCTCACTTCATAAAAGTGATGAACCATTATTTTTTAATAAAGTGAATTAAAAGTATTTGAATTTTAAAATTTTGAAACACCCTTTAACAAAATGGAAGCAGCACCCTGGGCTTTTGAAAATCTGGATAAGAGGACACAAAAATTTTTGCATTATTTATTATTTGTATTATCAGAAAAGCCCAAAAAGAAGACAACCCAGCTTGTGGGGCCAAGGACAAGCACATGGGCGAGAGTTAAGCAGCAACCTTCTCTAATTATTCTCCTGAAGCCCCACATCTTGTGTTTCAGACAATTCTAATTTCACTCATACTTTCTAATCCCCAAATTAAAATCCCCTGAAAGAATTACATCTTTGCTCTCAAAGAGAAAAGATGCAATATCTCTTTTGAGACATAAATAACAATAAACAGGAACAACAACAGAACAAGAGATGGAACGCTCCCCTTACCTGCCCACTGGCCCATTGACCGCAAGAAAGGTGTTGGCCAAACTTTCCAGAAGTTCAGTAAAACACATCTGAAGAATCTCACGCACTTCACCAGGCAGACCAGGCACACCAACAACCCTACAAAAATGAAGAACGGCTCTAGAACTTCCTCCATGGCTGCACCGTGGCAGATGCTGTTTCAGACGCGGCCCTGGCCCACTCTACCCAATCTCCTCCCGGGAGTCACTGGGTGCATTCCATTAGGTCGGGGGCATTTAGATTAAAGTAACTTCTTTACACAGTCCTCTGATTCACAGTCTTTTGAATAAGGCTTTGTTACCATGGAGGAGCTGGTGAAGAAGTAAAAGGTGGATATGAAGAAAGAAAAACAAACCTAGACAAATAAAAAATGGCAGCCCAAGGTTCTCTCCCTGAATTTGGAAATCAAAAAGCCTGCAAAATCCAAATCACTCTTGTATTTAACAACTATTTATTGCTTGCCTACTAAGTGGGATCTGCCATTCAAGGCATTGAGAAAATAACAGTGACCAAGATGGGGTTTCTCTGTCTTGGAGCTTAGATTCTGGTAGGAGAGACAAACAATGAGCAGATACATAAGACAATGTCAGATATAAGTGCTATAAAAAAAAGCACCATGGAGCAATGTGTTTGGGTGACTACTCAGGGAATACTTCAGAGAGGGTGTTCAGGAACGAATTCTGTGAAGAAGTGGCATTCTGAGTTGAAATCTGAATGAAAAGAAGGAGCCAACCCTGCAAAGATGAGGTTCCCGGCTGATGGGACAGCTTTTCCAAGGCCCTGAAATGAGAAATATTGATGCATTTGAGGAATAAATAGGACTATGCAGTAGAGGAACTGCTCTGCAGAGAGTGAGAGAGGAAAAGGCCAGAGGAGGAGGGTGGAGTCAGATGCTCTTGGTGAGGTGTTTGAACTTTTGTCTAAGAACAACAGGAAACCATTGAGGAGGCTTAGGAAATAGAGTTGGATAATCTGAATTATGCTTTGAAGAAGTCACTGGAGGCTGAGAGAAGACCTTTGGGGGTGGGGATGGAGGGTGGGTGCACCAACTAAAGCAAGGAGCATGAGGAGACTCTGAAGTCACCCAGGAAGAATCCCAGGAGTCAGTCCTTGGCCCTCTCTCTTTTCTGTCTGTGCTCATTCCTTTGGTGACACTATCCAATCTCTTGACTTGCAGAACTCCCTGTATGCTGAGGATCCCCAAATTTAGAACTTCGGCTGGTCCCCCTGGCTGGTTATCCAGACTTGCATACATGTCTACTTGCTACCTTCACTGGAATCCCTCATTACTGCTATAAATTTGTCATTATTTCTGAGCCTTTCTAGGACAAAACTAGGAAACACTTTTTTTTAAGTGAGTATACTTCGTAAGTCATTCAAATGTGGGATTCTGTGAGTTTTACTTAATAGCTTTCATTTTATATTTGGATTGTTTTCCTCTGATACTGAAAATCTTGATCCCTAAACTCATATTTGTTTTTACCTCTGGGATGTGTATATATTTGCTTCTTGCTTTCAGGTTTTTTTTCTTAGAGATTGCATACTTTTTATTCTTTGTGATTTAATTTTGTTTTATAAATGTGTAAAACATTTACATGGCTCCAAAGTCAAATTTACAAAAGAAAGTACATTCAGAAAAGTCTTGCGCCTATCCTTATGGTCTGCACTCTGTTCACTTCCTCTCCCTGTGGCAATCCTTATACCTTTGTTTAGATTTGATTATTCATCCCTATTTTCATATTTGTATGAATATATTCACATACATGCACATGCATATATACACGTGTCATTATACATAATCCAAATATATGCACATAAACACCCACACACACAACACATTTTTACCACCTCTGCCTGCTTTTATTTAGATGAACAATAGTGTTACACACTTTCCAACACCTTGCTATTTTTTACTTAACAAAAATTCTGTAATCATACCATAGTAGCATATAGAGATATTCTTCTCTTTTTATTAATATTTTGTCTACATCTACAAGATACTCTATTGTATGGATGTACCATATTCATTGAAACCCCTGTGCATAATCTTTAGATTATTTCCAGTCTTTTGCTATTACAAATAGTGCTGCAATAAATAGCCATGTGTACTTACGCTGGGAGTAGAATCGCTGTGTCAGAGAGTAAATTCATATGTCATTATGCTAGATATTGTCAAATTTTCCTTCATTTAGCATTCTTGCTAATAATGTATGCGGGTGTTTGTTTTCCCCCTGCCCTAGCAATAGAATACGCTGTCAAGCATTGGGATTTTTGCCATCTAATAGGTGAGAAATAGCGTCCAATGT